CCGTGGCCTTGGTGTTATCAGCACCGCACTCTCCCAAGTGAGCCACGGGCTGGCCCTTAAAAATGATTTTTTATTTTGGATAATTCATTTTTTATTGTGGTAAAATACACATAACATAAAATTTACCATTTTAACTATTTTTAAGTGTACTGTTCAGTGGCATTAAGTACATTCACATTGTTGTGCAAGTGTCACCACCATCCATTTCCAGACTTTTTCATCATCCCCAGCTGAAACTTTATACCCATTTAACAATAACTTCCCACGTCACCTTCCCCCAGTCCCTGGCACCCACCATTCTACTTTCTATCTCTCTGAATTGACTATCCCAGGCACCTCATATAGAGATGATTCATTATCCATTACTTCCTTCCCTTCAGTAAAACAGAGCGTCTTCAAAAAGTTCATGGAAAGATTGGTTTGTCTTTTAACCCTATTTTTCCATGAACTTATTGAAGTTCTTTTGTAGAGATACCCCAGAAGGGACTGAATTAATTCACAGCACTGAAGGCTGAGGATGGGCATCAGAGGTTTTAGAACAGTCGGGTTTGGGAGAGACCCCATTGAACACCATCTAGCAGAGCCCTGGGGAGAGGGGAGTGTGCCAGCAGATACTCTCGGTAGGAGGTGACACTTGAAGGGTGTTGCAGATGTGTAGGAGTCAGCGGGTAGCTGAGAGCATCAGGGAGACTTGGCGTTAGCTCAGATGGTGCTTTTTGTCCTTTTCCCTGTGTCCTTTAGGTCTCCAGTTTGACGGACCAGATGCCCCCACCTACAAGGTAAGAGTCCCCTTCCCAGCCTCTTTTTGCACTTGGCATTCTGTCCTCATTCCCCCAATTGTGGCTGGTCTCTGTCTTCGACAGAGCCCCTATCCAGATTAACTCTCAGATGGGAACCCAAGGAGGGAAGAGGTGGAAGAGTGTGAATAGAATTCATGATTTTTTCAGCCATGGGAGTGGCTAGTTCCAGGGAGGACTTCCAAGACCATACTGAAGATCCAGGCCACCTCAGATGCTATTGCCACAGCCATGGGCTCCTACACTGTATTGCCTCTGTCAGGGTTAGGGCCAGCAAGACAGAGGCTGCTCTGTGCCCTGCTTTACTTTCCCCACTTAGTGTAGCTTCAAATCAAGGTCTTATCAAGGTATATCCAATCAGTGGATAGATCTCATCCAGAACCCTACCAAAAGGAGTTTGGGAAGTATAGTTTTAGTTTTCCATCCTCTGCATGCTAGACAGAGGTTGGAATGGGTGATGAGTGAGCCAATCAGCCAAGCTCCCCTGCCCCCCAGAGGCCTTCTCTGTCCCCTGGGCAAAGCCCTCCACCACTCTGTCACTGTTACTTTCTCGTTACTCTATGTTTTCTTCTTCGTGGCTCTTACTGGTACCTGAATTACCTTATATGTGTGATTATATGTCCATTGCCTCTCTTCCCCACTAGAATATAAGCTTTTTGAAGGCACAGAGTCTGTCTGATTCACTGTTTTCCCAATGCCTGTAACTTGGTTCTTAGAAAAATTTGTTGGGCCGGCTCGGTGGCGCACTGCTACAGTGCGCTGCTTGGGAAGTGCGGCAGCGCTCCTGCCGAGGGTTC